GTAAACCTCCAGCGGGCGGTGGAAATCAAGCCTTTGGCGCTAAACTCAAAGCTGCCCTTCGGACAAAATTGTAGTGGGGGGAAAGGGTGTCATTTCTTTCAGAAAGAATGTCATTTGATCAACTAGACCGAGTTAACTTGCTCCCGGTTTCCTGAAAGCTCGGGTGAGCCCGTGGGTGTTTTGCTAGATTCAGTGCAGATATGTTAGCTTTCAGCGGAATCGTCCAGGACTTGGGAGATAAAGCTTTTGCTTCTCTCCAGACTCCCAACTACCCTCCACGAGAATTCGATACATTTAATGAAAGCTTTGCCAGATGTAGGTTTCAGCGCGTCCTTGGGCCAGAACCTCCCAGAAGGCACATTGCACTCAACTGGCTCCAACCTGGGCTCCACACACAACTCTGGTCCAGTTAAAAATTACCTGTGCCTAGTCACTTACAGTTCCAAAGAGGTAACAAAAACAAACACCCTCCCCCCACAAAAAAGGGAAGAAGATTTCACCTGACACTACCAGCTGCTTCTGTGTGATGAGAACACTTCCAGAGGCAAAATTTTAAATGAAGGGTGCAAATTTCTGTCCTCAATTGGTCGAACTCCTCCCTGCAATGAACAGCGAACCTCACATGCTCAAGACTGAACTGAGGTTTGTGGCTTCCTCGCTGCCGGCAGCGTGGAATTCTATCTGGGCTTGTAACCGAGCAGCAGACCGCACATGAACGCTACCTCCCCTGCTGCCTCTGCCAGTAAAGAATATCGGGAACACTGGTGACAGAAACAGTTACCTGAACCCAGAAACGTAGGCTAACAAGTTCAGCCTGCAGAAGAAGATTCTTGCTAATTCACCCAGATTGTTTTAACTGGTTAATAAAGCAACTGACACTCAACAGAACCACATTCACAGCAGGAGTCCTAGTCAATAAAATGAGAATCACAACTGAAGGTTTGTTGTTGTTGTTAACAACTGCCTTTATTATTATCATTGCTTGGTATTTTTTTAATGGACAATTAAAGGAAAGAGAGACAATCGTGTCAAACCCAATGGTACAGAAAGATCTCTTCCCTTTTCCTCTGAAATTAGTCTTGATTCATCCTCAGTAAGCCACCACCTAAAACAATTGCAAGAAGGGCAAATTGGCTCTAAACACCCATACTTTCATTCTGGGTGGAATATAAATGGCTAATCATTACCCCCTTTAAACGCACATAATTTTATCTGACCCTTGGATGTGATTTAACATACGGATGGTTATAGAGCCTTATTCTACATGATTAAGACTACACAGAAAAAGCAAAAGTGAGAAGGGGATTGGAGTACATATACACTATATTACATGCCGATTTTCTGAAGTGAATATGTTCATTTTGACCTCCAAATTACATTTTTTTAATATCAGAAAAAAATAAATCCTTCATATATATCTATTCCCCCCCCCCCGAAACTGGAAGACCAGTTGTTATTCTACTTCTTCAAACCCAGTTCTAAAGAGAGCTTTACCTCCCTGGGAATAAGTCCCAAACAAATCCATAGTTCAGAGAAAGCTGATCAAAACCCCCTTTCCTTCCCAATATTGGTTAGTGGGGAAGGAAAAGGTTTTTTTCCTTTGCTGTACATAATTTTCCAAAGAATTGACCTAAAATTCACTTATATCTGCCTGAGCTTGTTGGGGGAATAAATACATTCTAAATGTGTAATGCCACTTTTCAATTGCAATTAAAACCTATTTAGATTTCTGAAAAGTAGCCTGAGAACATATTCATTCAAGGCTCTGTATCTGGCATTAAGTTTGATCTGGAATGTTTAAATTTTAAATCAGAGAAAGGAAGTAATAGCACACAAACACATAGGCTTCAGAGCCCACCAGGAATTTTAGGTGTAATAGCTGCATTTTGGAAGGTGTGCACAAGTGTACATGCCTAGATGCCACAGCTTCAAGAGTAAGAATTTACTTAATCTCAGCATACCTTTTATATTCAGACACTGTTAAGTACATTAGGGTGGCCTGGAGGTAATAGGGACTATACTTAATAGCTACCAATATTCTTCTTCTCTCATCAATAGAGGAGCTCACAACAGGGGATTCACAGAACTGCTGCGCTGAAAGATGTATTTTTGACCTAACAGAACATGCAAAGGTCAAAATAAGTCCATTTTTGTCAGGAGAGGGGAGAGGGTCCAATTTCCCCTTCGAACACAAGAGGTCGCTCCTGTGATCAAGTACTGGGGGAAAATATTGCTAATCATGGTGTGTTGTATTCTATAAAAACATTACACAATTTTTTTTTTTACTGATACATTTCATGCATTAAATGCACATGTAGCAGGCAGCTAAGGAAAGAGGAGAATAATCTGTGGTCACATTTGAACTTTCAGAAGTGAAAAAAAATGTTTGCTCCCCTAACTTTGGTTTTGATGCAAAATGTATTAGCAGCAGACACAGAACCCTGAAGCACAACCGCCAGGGAACAACATACTGGGTTCCTTCAACTTTCTCCCCTTAACAGGGAGTATCTTCCGCATGAGTAAAGGTTTTCCTCCAAGCCACATGCCAGCTTTTCTTTTGGAATTGCTACCATCAGCAGCAATAATTCTTTGGAATAGGTTATTAGTTTAGGAAGTTTAAATACCACACTGGGTGACTGGTTTGAAGCAGAATGGATAGTGAGGGCGCTTGGTGGATCTCAAATATGTCATCAGGCTTTTGGCAGCTTCTGTTTAATTCCATGTTATAAAGGTGGCATAATGGAATTTGATTGGTTAAGATCCTCTATTTACTTTCTGGCATTATAGTAGTATCTTTTTTCTTTTTTTTTTGTAACTAGAGTCAACTTGGTTATCTGTAAGGGAAACATGCCCTTATACCAGAAAGACTTGCTTTGCTTTTTGATTACCAGCATCAGCTTTGCAACAGCAGCATGACAAAAGGCTCCCTGCATATAATACTGGAGACTAGAAACTTTAAACGAAACAGATTTTTAAGCAAAAAAATTGGATAAATTTATCAACCTATATCTATTCCAATTTTCAGTTTCACACACAGAGAGATATAATAAAAATAGAGGCATGAGATCCAGCTAAGACTCTTCCTTGAGAGAAAACAAAACAAAACAGATAACGTGTTCTCGGTAAAGCCCTGCTAGATCAGGAGAAAACTCAAATATCTTAGCCTTTTTTTTTTTTTTTTTTTTTTTTTTTTTTCCCCGCTCTGGAAAAGCATATCCACGCAAACCCAGCCACTGCGGCTAGCTGAGAGCTTATCGCTCTTATCAAGGGTTAGATCTAGCGAAAAGTACAAAGAAAGGAGTTTCCTAACACAACTGGGTTTTCTCGCGGCAGCAAGACACCGAAATTAAGCCTTCTGCTGCTTGGGTTTGTGGACCTTTTAAGAAAAAACTGGCAGTCACTTTAGATAAAGATTAGCTATTTAGAAGCTTTGGGAGGGAGACGTGTGGGTGTTCTTCGTGGCCTTTCCTGTATCTGTTTTCGGGAGGCTGTAAAAGGTGACGGGAACATGTCAGAAATTATTGAAAAAGGTTAACCACGAGTTGGAGCCAACGTTCTTCTCTTTCCAGGTTGTTTCCCGAGAGAAAATGATCAGATTAACCACACCGGTGAAGTGAAACAGGTATGTCACTGCCTTTCGGTATTAGATCCCTGCCTACGTACTCCCTTAGACTAACACATTTTTTTTTTTTTTAATTCTCTAGAGACATGGAGAGCTGTCCTTTTAATTGCCGAAACACCGCCAGCAATTGCACATGTTTGCTTAAAAACAAAGGACAGGAGACCAGCATACAGAGGAACGGGACAGGATATACATAATCGCTTTAGAAACTTTCCACTACCGCAAGATATTTCAGTCTTTGGCTTTGGGTTACTGCGCTTCTAAATTCTAGGGCTGAACTGCAAAAGCAGACCTCAAGGACTGTTAGGAGAGAGTGGTCCGCGGAGCCCACCTGGTTTTACCTGCGTCTTCCCAACCTGATTCTCCGCTAAGGCAAGAAGCGCTCTTTTCCTCCCACCCCACCCTTTTTTGAGAGGTGGTGGTAACGGGATAGTGGGGGTAGCAATAGAGAACTATTCCTGTGGGTTTATTCATCCCATTCCCGGTTCTTCTTCCCCTAGGCAGCTCCCGGCGCGCCAGGCGCGGCCAGCTCGGGAACTCCCCCTCCCCGGCAGCCAAGCCCGGCCAGGCCCGGAGCTGAGCGCTAAAGCGCGAGACCAAACCGAGCCAAAAGGCCTGTTCTAAGTCGCCCCTTTTCCAAGAACCCTAGAAGGACCTCGTCATCAGGAAGACCTACCCACCAGCCACTCGCCACCGGCGGCAGAAAAGTGCCCCGCGCGCAGCACGGCCAGCCGGATTGCGGGGACCCCAGGAGCGCAGGGCGGAGGAGCAGCGCGACGGGAGGCGAGGGCGCAGACGGCACGGCCGGCAAGGAGCAAGGGAGGGGGCAGGAGGACGAGAAGGGGAAGAAGAGGAAGGCCAAAAGCCAGAGCTGCCGGGCTGCCCGAGCTCCGGGAAAGAGCGGCCTCAGCCCGGAGCAAGTTGCCTCGGGAGCCCTAATCCTCTCCCGCGGGCTCGCCGAGCGGTCAGTGGCGCACGGCGGCGGCGAGGCTGAAATATGATAATCAGAACAGCTGCGCCGCGCGCCCCGCAGCCAATGGGCGCGGCGCTCGCCTGACGTCCCCGCGCGCTGCGTCAGACCAATGGCGATGGAGCTGAGTTGGAGCTGAGAAGTTTGAGTAAGAGATAAGGAAGAGAGGTGCCGGAGCCGCGCCGAGTCTGCCGCCGCCGCAGCGCCTCTGCTCCGCCAGCTCCGCCGGCTTAAATTGGACTCTCAGATCCGCGAGGGCGCGGCGCAGCCGGGCAGCGGCTCTCTCAGCCTTGGCAACCCCAGGGGCCACTATTTCCCACTTAGCCACAGCTCCAGCATCCTCTCTGTGGGCTGTTCACCAACTGTACAACCACCATTTCACTGTGGACATTACTCCCTCTTACAGATATGGGAGACATGGGAGATCCACCAAAAAGTAAGAGGCTCTTTTACCTTGTGGGGCTCGGTGTGCTGTTCTTGTGCGGGGGTCTCTCTCAGGCACGGGTGCCAAGGGCTCTTTAGAGTTGGAGTCATTGCCTGGAGAGAGAGAAAAGGTGGCTTTTTCTCGTGGCCGCCACGCCTGCATGCTTGCTGTCGGTTCTCATCTTCGGGAAACTGGTCGTACCTGGTGTTTTGAGTTCGCCGGTGTGCCCTCCAAAACCATAGCCTTCTGGGGCTAAGAGGTGATTTCCTCCTTGGGAATCTTGAGCTCTCCGAGAAGGTTATTCTGTTGCAAAGGTCTGCCTGTACACACAATACCCGGAGATGTGAATTAGCATTAGACTTGCAAAAGAGAACGAGTGACAACTGTATTGATGTCTGCTCTTACTAACAATATCCAGTCCTATGTGCTATTTAACAGCCTGCTTCATGGAAAATATCAGCGTTTACTTAACCCTTCTAGTCAAAACCTTTTCTTTGACTTATCCATAATCTTTCCCAATGATTACGGCAAAGAGGGAGGAGGGAGGAAAAAGAAATACAAAATGAACGGGTTTGATTGCGTGCTAGACTTAAAAATGTAGACTATTCAAAAATGCGTTTTACATATATTCCACCTCCTTTTTAAAATGAGTCAGGGTTTTGATGGCACACTTCAATTACCATCCCAAAGTGCAATACTCTTAAAACAAAAAAACAAAAACAAAAACAAAAACAAAAACAAAAAAAAAAAGAAGAAGAAGAAAGAAAGGGGGGGGGGGACTCCCAGAGTACGCCCTATAAGAGAACGACACTAAAAGTGTGTTTATCTCTGTAGGAAGTAAACGGTTAGTCAATCATGTATTTATTTTCATTTCAGAAAAACGTCTGATTTCCCTATGTGTTGGTTGCGGCAATCAAATTCACGATCAGTATATTCTGAGGGTTTCTCCGGATTTGGAATGGCATGCGGCATGTTTGAAATGTGCGGAGTGTAATCAGTATTTGGACGAGAGCTGTACGTGCTTTGTTAGAGATGGGAAAACCTACTGTAAAAGAGATTATATCAGGTACGCCATTTACATTGTTTCCTTAATTTTGTGAGATTTCCGTGTCTCTCTCTACTCTTTTCTTATTATTAGATGTGGCTTTGTCTTTTTGCGAAGTATGCCTTAGTGGGAGTCTAGTGTGCAAAAGTTACCCTTTAAGTATGTTACATAAATTATTCTGTTTATCTCACTTTTTAGGGGGCATCCCCCCACAAACTCAGTAGTGGTTTTCATAAATTGTGTGGTGTTGAAGCTTGTTTAATTGCTCTTGAAATTTGTGATGCTGAAATTATTTTCTTCTTTCATCCTTCCTCTTCCAAAACAAGCAGAAATTCAAAGATGGATAACTTGGGCTTTCTAAACTTTCTTTTGTAAAGGTTGGTTTTATTGTATCGTGCAGTGTTTTTCCCTATTCATTTATTTTTATAGTTCAGTGTTTTATTAGTAACTTACAAATTTTGTGGAGATGTCAGTGCAATAGGCAAAATAAAAGTTTGACCTAAGGATGTTTAGAAGTGCACTTTGAAAGTGCAAATAGAAATATTGCCCCATTTATTTTTAGGGTAAGAGTCCTTTCTTGGAAAATTTCAAAACCAACCCAATATTCCCTGCAAAAAGACTGGAAATTTAATCTTTTTAAATATTAACCCTTTGGTGACATCTGACTATCTTTTCTTTCTTATCTTATCTGAGCTGATGAATTAGAGCAGATCGAATTGCCCATCATCTGTCTATGAACAATTGGTATATTTAGATAATTGAACAGCTTCCTTTCTCACATTAAAATCTGGTAACTGATAAAATGAGCGAATTGCCCATATTGACAAGACTAAAACCACATAGGGGACTTTGAGGGTTTTTTTTTTTTTTTCCTTTCAGCTTATTTTGTGTCTAAACTTCATGCTTCACAAATCTCAAGTTTTCTCTGACCTGTGTATATACATATGTCAGAAATTTCATTTTCTGCCTTAGGAAGCCAGTAGAATTCCTAAAGAAAATTTTATTGTTTTAATAACAAACAGAAGAGATAACACCTTCACTATTATATTAAATGGTATCAAAATATTATATATTTTTAAAATTTCTTTAGTGGCTATTAACAAGTAATTAGCTTTTGTAAGTTATACATTTTCTGGAGCTGAGAAGTGTAGTCAAGAGTTAAGAATGTGGTCACAATTTTTACCTATTCAGTCCGGCACTTTTTCTTACTGTAAAATCATGAAATAGAGAGTATAGTCTTGATAGGTAAAGCTGAACAGTGTGTGTAAGGGTTTATTAATACTTTGTGGGGTGGGGGTGGGAAGGAAAGGAGAGTGGGAGGAAAGAGGGGAAGTGGGGAACTGGAGGAAGGGGGAGGGATTTTCCAAATTGTTTGGTCACAGGCAAGGTAAAGTCCTCCTATGAAATGGAAGATCTCACAAAAAGTAGGCGGAGGGAGGAAAAACTTTTGAATCTACCTTCTAACCTCTGACAAATGAGCCGTTTTCATTGTTTACTTGATGAGTGTGTGAACTCCGTATTCTGGAGAGGGAGCGCTCACTTTGCACCTCTAGGACTATCTTTCCTCCTGCGGAGATAGCGTTTTCCTCAATTGCATACGGACCTTCATGTAGCCAATTTCATGTACACATTTGTAGAAGGAGCCAATCGCTTTCGCCTTTTACCCTTCTCCCTCTCTCTCTCTCTCTTTCTCTCTCAGTTTTGTGCCTATGTGTGTGTGTATGTGTGTGTGTTTGTGTGTCCCCCTTCGAACTCCTATAGTTGTAAAAGCAGAACAGAGACATTATTTAGGTCTGAACACCCTGCTTTCCTTGGGGGAGTGAGGTGCCCTCCTCCCATTTTGTGTGGATCTTTTCCTCTGGTCCATTCTCTGTAGGAAAGCTCCTACTTCTGTTATTACTGATACATGGAGAGGAGGGGGGTCAGGGCAGTGCCACCTAGGTGGAACCTACAAGGATTGTCCCTTGGTAAGGAAAGGTCAGGAGTGAGGAGGACCTTAGAAGTGGGTCTTTTCATTCTTCTGGCTGGTCATGGTTCTCAAGCACACTGAAATAGAGTTAGATGCTTGAACAGCTTGAAAAAAATTGAGGGAGCAGGAGCAGATTTTAAAGATGATAAAGGAAGAATGGAGAGGAAACTTTCTGTTAACACTGTTGCCCGAGAAAAAATCTGTAGTTGGGGAAAAACTGCAACATCTTATTGTGCAGAAGGGGATCTGGAAACCCTCGGAGGTTTCATTTTGTTACTCTGCTTGCGCATCTGTGTATTTTTACAAATGAGTGGAGGGACAATCTTCTCCCCTCACCTCTCTTTCTCTTGGAAGGACTTTTTGTAGCAGTTTTAGAGACATTTCTAGCAGCAGAAATTGGGGGATAAGAAGGCAAAAGTGTGGGGCCAATGACTACCAGAGTCCCCCCTCACTCCTTTCTGCCAAGATCTGCAAGGGTAACCCCGGGACTGGGCTAGAACAGAGGTCCAGGTTTCCAGCACGTCAAACATTTTTACTTTGGGGGTGTTCTGAAGTAAGAGCTACAGTTGGTGACACAGAGGTTCATAGGAAAGAAAAACAAAAATGGGAGAGGGTAAAAGAAAGGGAGAAGAGAGAGAAACTTAATGATTTCTTTCCTCCCATTCCCAGCCAGTCGGCTAACGCTGACTTCAATGTCCCAGGGCAGTGTGGCCCTGGGTCCTCGGCAATCTTGGGCGGGGGCAGCGCCGGCTTTAAGTGATCCCCTCTGAACCCCTTTCTGTGTTTTCCCCCCGGTTCCTGCCCGGCGGCGCGCAGGTTGTACGGAATCAAATGCGCCAAGTGCAGCATCGGCTTCAGCAAGAACGACTTCGTGATGCGCGCCCGCTCCAAGGTGTACCACATCGAGTGTTTCCGCTGCGTGGCCTGCAGCCGCCAGCTCATCCCTGGGGACGAGTTCGCGCTTCGGGAGGACGGGCTCTTCTGCCGCGCGGACCACGACGTGGTGGAGAGGGCCAGCCTGGGGGCCGGAGACCCACTCAGCCCTCTGCACCCGGCGCGGCCGCTGCAAATGGCAGGTACTCCTTGCCCGGAGGGAGGCCGGCCCGGGGAGGCTGGTGCTAGGCTAGGCCAGGGCGCACCCAGTGCGCGGGTCACCGCGGCCACCTCGGTAGCCACAGGGCAGTCGCTGGGGCCGCTGCCAGCAGTTAAAATAAGTGTTCTGGGAGCAGTTTGCGCCGTACTTTGCTCTTTCGTGCACGATTCAGTGTCTCCCCAGACCCCCCTCCCCAGCACATCTGCTCCTCTGCATGTATAAATATGGGTACACATGAATGTACATCACTTGTGCATACACGTATGTACACATCCAAACAGTACTTCCAGCTCACCTTGGCCTCCAAACCGCGGCTTACCGAAAATGGGCTTCAGCTCCCGGCCAGGTATTCTTCCTGCCGCTGCCTAATTAAAGGGGTGGAGCTCTGGACCCCCAGAGCTTCCTCCTTTAACCCAGTGAAGGAAACTTAGGTGGTCCTAAGTCATTTAGCCTTTGAAATCCTCTTTCCTTGCAACTGCCCCACACTCTAAAACATTTTTAAAGTTTATTTTTATCCTTTTGTGAAAGAATGGATGTGAAAAGATACAGTCTTAATAACTGCCCGCCATTGCACAGAGCTGTAATTTAAAACTGTCAACAAGCTAATCTGCAGTAATTGCCTTTTAAAGGGAGCCTGCCTCTTTCAACCATTCGTTCCATGTGATTTGGTGAGAATTTCATCTTCAGGCCTGTCGCTGTAACACTAAATGGACCCAGTAGGTTTTGACCTGACCCTAGGGGTCCTGGAAGGTGCAGGATTTGTACCATACATTTCAGAGAGCCCTTTCCCCAAGAAGGAGAGTAGAAACAGGACAAGGCTGGCCAGGAAGAGGAGCTGCATGAGAAGGCAGACAATGTTTCCAAACCTTACTTCCCCTGAGGACTAGATCTACTCCTCAGGAATAGATCTACCTGGTGCATTTTTGAAGTATTAATTTTTACTAAACACTGGTGGTGAGGAAACAGATCTGTCCACTCTACTTTTTCAGAGGCTGTAAGACTTCTGTTCTGGAGGATATATGGCTAGCTTGCACAGGGGCAAAGCCAAAGTGGCAATTTCTGTTCTATGCAACCTGTGCTCTGCTTGTGGGGAAACACAGAAGAGGTGGAAATATTGGGAAGAAGTCAGGAGACAGAACACTTCCCAGCTATCATTTATCTAGAGCCCAGGCAGCTCAACAGTTTCAGTTTTCTTTTGCATGGGGTCAGCCCATCTCAGGAACAGCCAGGTAGATTTAGGTAGTAAGAAAATCAAGGACTGAGGTTATGGCCAAAATACTAAATTTCTTTAGCCCCTTGACACAGTTGCCCTCTCCGGACTGAAGTTCAAGGCTTTCTGGCATAATTCTCTTTGATCTTTGCATTAGAGACCTCCTGGCTGGTATAGTGTCTCTGGCTGACATTGGGGTGTTCTCCATTTCCCCTTGTACTATCTGTGCCTGTTGTCCAAGAGTCTGGAGGTGGTGGGTACTCGTGTAACCTAGGCCCAGTCTGGGTATGAGGACAGGCAAGGATGGAGGAGAAACAATGCTGAATGATGCTGCCCCTGAGACCTGAGACCTGAGCCCCTTTGCTAAGGCTGTGTTGACAAGAGCAGGGTTGGAGGCAGCGTTCTGGGCCTGAATTACTCAGCATTGGCCTCTCAGATTAGAGAGCCAGGTATTATTCTCCCGTTTGCTTCCCTGGTTGTTACCTCTGCCGTGAGGCTGCAAAGCACTGGCCATTGACCGGGAGCAGCACGGGAGGGCGAGAGATGCCTGGCCCGCGCTCACCGCGCCCCTTGCCTTGCAGCTGAGCCCATCTCCGCCCGGCAGCCAGCCCTGCGGCCCCACGTCCACAAACAGCCCGAGAAGACCACCCGCGTTCGGACTGTGCTGAACGAGAAGCAGCTCCACACCTTGCGGACCTGCTATGCCGCTAACCCCCGGCCAGACGCACTCATGAAGGAGCAACTGGTGGAGATGACGGGCCTCAGCCCCCGCGTGATCCGGGTCTGGTTTCAGAACAAGCGGTGCAAGGACAAGAAGCGGAGCATCATGATGAAGCAGCTCCAGCAGCAGCAGCCCAACGACAAAACTGTGAGTGGCCCTTGGGGGTGCGGGACCTGGGCGGGGAGCAGGGCTACGCTTAAGGTGCAAGGGGCTGCCCAGGTTGGCCTGCACGTGGGTTCCGTCCTGCTCTGGGGCAAAAGCTGGGAGCCCCTTACTGCCTCTACCCATGCCCAAGGGAGAAGCAACTGGCAAGGGCGGCTGCTGAGCCCTGAACCTCCACCCCCAGCCCACGTAGGTGGGCTTATGCCCTTCAACCTTGCCCCCACCCCACCCCGGGACCAGAATAAGTTCTGGTCCTGTTTTGCCAACATTCAGGTTGTCAGTTCCTCAAGCACCAGAGTGAGAGACTCCTCCTTGGCTCCCCATCTAATTCAGGGGTCGGTGGGTGGGTCACCCTGGCCATTGACCTCCTGGGTGTGCCCCTTGACTCTGGGCAAGGCCTGCCTTAGCACCTTCAGACAAGTGAGGTCCACCAGGGCGACCTATGACGACAGGGCACCCTCTGCTCTAGGTCAAGCCCAGGGCTCCATAGATCCATGGCAACACCCACTCCACAGGATTTCTGGTTGCGTTAAACTAAAGAGGTTCTTTTTTTTTTTTCTTTTTACCACTTTAGCCCTATTTTTAAATGCCATAAAACCCCCGCTGTCATTCAACTTGGCAGGCCAGCCAAGCCTGGGCCGGGGCACTTTTCAAGTTGGTGAGTGTGTAATAGCACACAATAGCGGCCAGACCCAAATGCTTGGGGTGGGGGTTGGCTCTGTGAAGAGAAGTGCCTGGAGAAAGTGTAACTGAAACTGCCCAGAAAACCCACCGTGTTTAGAGGCTGCAGCTTTCTACCGCTGTGATGCCATAGTCCGTGGAGGCAGATGGGAGGAGCTGGGATGAGCTAGCTGTGAACATAAACGGAAAGGAGAAAGTCAGAATAGAATTTAGTTTAATAAGGTCCAAGCAGACCGACGAGTCCCACCCACAGAAGCAGAAAAACCATATAATAAAACAAAACTGAACTCCGGCTAGTATCCATACATGCAGCAGATTAACTGAGTCAATAATGGCCACTATATAGATAAGATAATGCCAGGGCGTATTTGCTTAGCCTGTGCAGACAATGGAGGGAGGGAGTTCGGTCATTAACATGTTGGGATTGGGGGGGCCTATTCACAGAATATCCAGGGGATGACAGGAACTCCCATGGTGGCTGCCAGTCCAGAGAGACACGATGGTGGCTTACAGGCAAACCCGGTGGAAGTGCAAAGTTACCAGCCGCCTTGGAAAGTACTGAGTGACTTCGCCTTGCAGAGTGACATAGATCAGCCTGCTTTTCAGCAACTGGTAAGTGTCAGCTCTCAGAGTGAGGAGGCTGAATCTCTAGCAAAAAGAAGATTCTGGCTTAACTGTCACACCATGAAAGATTCAAGGGGGAGAGGGTGCCTCCCTGACTCCAGGGTTGAAGAGAGATGAAGGAGGTTTGGTGTAGATGAGGCAAGTGCTGAAGGGAAACAAACTTCTTGTGAGTTTTTTCTGTGAGTTCATAATTTGACCATACAGGTTGAATTTTCTATCAACTGGTCTTCTTTGAGGGATAACCTCCAAGGTATCTAAGTACCTAAACATGCATGGAAAGGTGGATGGGGTTGCAGAATCATACATCTTAGACTTTTAGAGCTTGAAAGGACTTTAGAGATCACCTTGTCATTTTGATCAGCAATGAGTAAATTTATTCCCTCTCAGCTCCTAGAGAATGGTGTATTTAAAGACCAAAATCAAGCTGTTCATGTTAATAACCGATGTTGTAAGACATAATCAGTGTTCTTATCAATGGGGAGCAGGCATCTGTCTGAGTACAATTTTCACATGTATCAATAGAGAGTTCAGTTATTTAAAAACATGATGGATACCTTTCATTATTATTATCCTTTTCTGGGACCAACTTCATCTACAACGTAGGCCTACTTTAACATTTGAAGTGTATGAGTTCAGATGTTATATACAGTCACATACTGTGGGCCATGTCTGGCCAAAGGAACATGAGTTCTGCCAATCGGAGAGCACATGAAAACCTGTTTTAGCATTAATATGTTTTACAGACCCAAAGAAGAAAAAATTAACTCACCGTATGCCTACAAAAGGCTTAAAGGTCAAGATAAATAAGATTATTAAATACAGGTACTTTGTGATATGGCATATGTACACATATTTTTTTTTTCTTAAGTGGTCAACAGTCCTGTGGAATCTTTTTCTATAAAACAAGATCTATTCTAAAAACGTGTTCCTTTCTTCTAAAATAAAACTTCAGTTGAGGTTAACTTTTTACCCTCACATTTACCCGGAGAACATTTTCTTTCTCTGTGGCAACAGTTAGGTAACGGGCCAGGGGCAGTAGTTACAAGGACTTGGCCTGGGGTTTACATTTGTAAGTAGACCAGTCTAGAGGCTGGGCAAATTTGAGAAGCCCCTTGACCTCACCATGGGAAAATTTAATAGGATAAAAAGGAAGGTAGACTCTGGAATTAGGAGAAAGAACTTATTTTAAAGTGAGGTTAATCTTATAAGTTATTTGAGCAAAACCTGGATCATAGAAGGCAAGTAAGAGGAGGGCTCAGGGCAGCCAAGTGTTTGTACCTTCTAAAACTTTAGTGTTAGATGAGAGCAGTGGGAGGGAAGCCAAGGCAGGAGGAGGGTGTGGGGGCAGAGTGGAGAAGGAGGTTTCCAACAGCAACACAATACTTTCGGTTTAAAAGAAGGAGCCAGATATTTATAATGCGATGACGTTATAATATATGGGTCTCCTCTCGGAAGGAAGAGCCTGATTTAAAGAGAGAGAGAAAGAGAAAGACAGAGGAAGGCCAAAAGACAGCAGGACCAACAAACAACAAGGAAGAAAGCCCACGCTGTGAACCCTCTGAGGAGTTAATCATTGTTCTGTGGAGCTTTCTCTGAATCTCCTGTCACACGATCTGAGCGATCTGAGCGTGTGTTATGGATTTTCCAACTAGAGAAGAGAGGCTTTGATGCGTAGAGACTGAGAACTCGCCTGCTCCCAGGGCAGCATGTAGCCAGCAGGATAATTTTATTTCGAGCATGCATGGTAGAGTTGCGATGCCATTTTACAGTGGGAAACACATTTGTTCTTAAATAATTTAATGCAACACAATGTTGGGAATTCAGTTTCAGATAAAACAGAGATCTCTTGAAAGATGGGAAAGCGAGAGGATTTCTTCTCAAGTTCTTTTCTTCAGTCATATGTAGATATCTTTATCTGTATATCCATCTACACATGCAAACCCTCGCACATATGGATGCACATATGGCGTGTTTATAATCCTTTAAAGAATACAATCGCAGCCTCCTTTATTCATTTCTCAACCTTCTACACAGGTGAATTTTTCAGAAGGAGGACCGGGCTCTAATTCCACTGGCAGTGAAGTGGCGTCGATGTCCTCTCAGCTCCCAGATACACCTAACAGCATGGTAGCCAGTCCAATTGAGGCATGAGGAACATTCATTCAGATGTATTTTTTTCCCCCCCGTTGGAGAAAGTGGGAAAGTATAATGTTGAACTCCAAAACAAAAGTATTTAATGACCCAGTCAATGAAAACTGAATCGAGAAATGAATGCTCCATGAAATGCACGAAGTCTGTTTTAATGACAAGGTGATATGGTAGCAACACTGTGAAGACAATCATGGGATTTTACTAGAATTAAACAACAAACAAAACCCAAACCCATCATACGCTATCCAATGACCTTAGGAGTACTGAAAAAAAAAAAGACGTTTTTAAAACGTAGAGGATTTATATTCAAGGATCTCAAAAAAAGCATTTTCATTTCACTGCACATCTAGAGAAAAGCAGAAATAGAGATTTTCTAGTCCATCCTATTCTGAATGGTGCTGTTTCTATATTGGTCATTGCCTTGCCAAACAGGAGCTCCAGCAAATGAGCAGGAAGAGAAACTGGCCTCCTTGGCTGAAAGAGTCCTTTCAGGAAGGTGGAGCTGCGTTGGTTTGTGATGTTTTTAGTTGACTTTAATGAGGGGTTAATTGAAATCCTGGGTCTCTTAGCATGTCCTGTAGCTGGTTTCTTTTTTACTTTTGCCCCTCCCCCTCTTCCTCCTCCTTTTTCCTCTTCTTCTTCTTCTTCTTCTTCTTCTTTTTTTTTTTTTTTTTGAGATCCATCCTCTATCAAGAAGTCTGAAGCGACTTTAAAGGTTTTTGAATTCAAATTTAAAAACCAACGTATAAAGCATTGCAACAAGGTTACCTCTATTTTGCCACAAGCGTCTCGGGATTGTGTTTGACTTGTGTCTGTCCACGAACTTTTCCCCCAAAGATGTGTATAGTTATTGGTTAAAATGACTGTTTTCTCTCTCTGGAAATAAAGAGGAAAAAAAAAAAGGAAACTTTTTTTTTTGTTTGCTCTTGCATTGCAAAAATTATAAAGTAATTTATTATTTATTGTCAAAAGACTTGCCACTTTTCATGTCATTTGACATTATTTTTTGTTTGCTGAAGTAAAAAAAAAGATAAAGGTTATACCGTGGTCTTTGAATTATATGTCTAATTCTATGTGTTTTGTCTTTTTTCTTAAAATATTATGTGAAATCAAAGCGCCATATGTAGAATTATATCTTCAGGACTATTTCACTAATAAACGTTTGGCATAGATAAATAAATGCAATGACCCAGGGTCCCTCTTTTATATGTTTACAAGTAAGCCATTAAAATGTCTGAAATTAAGGACTGCATGTGAATGGGTAAACTGACATACAGGAGGTGTGATATTTAATTACAAATAGTTAAGGTTGAATTTGCCAGTTTGTATTTTAATAGTTGAATCAAAAGTGGATGGAACCCTTTGGTTCTCAGCGGTGATGTTACTGTTTTGTTTTGTTTTTTGTTTTGTTTTTAAAATAAGATGCTATTCCCTGTTCTGCTCCCTACCTCTCCTTCCTCCTGTCTCTTTTCTTGCCCTGTCCACCCCACCCAAGTAGGAAGAGGGTCCTGCTTAAAATGGGTTTTTATTTCGAGTCACTATTTTATTTTCTGGGAGTAAGTGCTTTATGCCAAAGTCTCCTGCTTAGGATTGTTGAAATGACCTATATTTCAAGTATAAGCTCTTGCTAAAAGAGAGCCTTTCTGCCTAGTCAGTGAGGTATGACCATTATTTACCAGTGGCTGCTGTCAGCCGATTGAGAAATGCTGCTTTATTTGCGCAGGAAGAGCAGGCCTAGAGGGGAGAGCGTTTTCTCAGCAATTCCCAGACCGGTCAGCGTGTGTCTTTTCTTGTCTCTCTTCCCCACCCCCAACTTGTTTCCAGCCCCCTCCCCTTCCCTTTTTCTCCCCCAACTCTAATTCCCCAAACCTTGGAAGTATCTCGAGCTAGGGCTGAGAAGCCGGTGGAGGCTCCTTGGGGAAAGAGCCTTTTATGGGATGGGGCCGGGTGGAGTGCTCCGCAGGCCCCCCTCCGCGTTTGGACTAATGGGGACTTGCTTTCTAACACTCCCCCCTCCCACTCCCCGCCCCTGCATTTAGCAGTAGTTCCTGAGAGCTAGAATCCGAGGATAGATAAAGGGCCCTGCCCGAAATCAGGCTTCTTGGCGCTTCTTCGTTTGCGGGTGCAGACTTAGGATTTGAGGCTTCACACTGTCGCCTCCACTTTCTCCACCCCGGGATGACACTTTGACTCTTTAGAAACTGGGTTCATTTGTACGCTCCAGTGTCATGCCAGTTTAGGTCTCTGACAATTCTTAATGAATACGAGAGCTAACGTACCCTAATCGTGTGTCCTGTGGCTCGTGCCCCTTCGGACCCCTGACGGGGGGCAGAGCGGAGGCCCGGCTGGAGACCGGGGGAGCCCCGCGGCTCCGGGGCTCTTCAGTTGCTTTCACCCTCTCCAAACCTGCCGCAAGTCGGGAAACGAGCCTCAATTAGCCTTTTGTTTGGCATCGTTCTACATAACGGGTTAATTACAGGCTCTAACGTGGGGGCAGAGAGAAAACAAACTTTGCATTGAAAATGTTACAGTGCATTAGACATGCCCGTTGATTACTTTGATTGTTGTGTCTAATTCTTCACAGAGGGGTAATAATTTGGCCGGCGGTAATAATGGCTTGTGGTCTTCTGTTGAGAAAAACAGGAGTTACGTCTTATCTAACACAGATCTTCTACTGGAAAGATCTCTCTTGCTCGCTCGCTCTCTCACTCTGTCTGTCTCTATCTCTCCCCTCTCCTGTCTCCCATCTCTCTCTAATGTCTCCCATCGGACTTGGCTCTTTTACGTTTCTGTTCACTATTTCTATTTGCCTGCCTTTTCAGTTTTCCTTTTTCTCCCCATCATACCTGGGGTGGCTAACTGATTAAGCGCAAAGATGGCAGGTCCAAGGCGAATATTGGTGTCTGCAAAGTTACTTATTGCCCAAGTCCTGGTTTGGAAAACATTAAATGCCCTTCCCCAGCCATAGCCTCTGGTGGACTCTACAGAGGTTAGATGGGAAAAATTTATTTAGGGTTTGAATGCAATGGAGGGACTTAAGTTAGGCACACATCTTTGTGATGCTTTCTCATCCTAACGTTTATTCCTAAGGTTAGGGGGGTGGGGAATGGGGAAGGACGTGATGTTTTACATATATAGATGTCAGATTTTCTGAGGTCCACAGCTTGAATTTAAGTACAGTAATTTGGGAGGGGAGTGATGAACGATTTGGTTTCACTTGCTAGATTCAAGATATTTGTTGCCTGATGGCTGAGAATGGATTGATGGGTGGATAGCATTCCAGTTCTTGTATTAGTCATATGAAAGGTGTGTTCCCCTCTGGACTCCTCAGCATGTGCTCTAAAATGTGTATCTGAAATGTCTCCTTGTTTGCAAACCATCTCTTGCACATACTCTCCTTTCCCTTGCACACCTCTGGAGACCTAGCTTTGAGCTGTGCTCTTCTAATGAAATTCCTCCTGTTTGCTATTATCTTTGATCCTCCCTCTCCTTATTACTCTGAATTCTTCCTTCTGGACATTATGACTCATTTCCTCCAGCTTCTGCAAGCTAAAACTTAATGCAACTAAAAACATCCAGGATGCTCTCCTTAAATCAGGGAATCCATATCTATACTCAGGATCCCCCTACCCCCCATTGTTTCAGAGCAATAACATCTTCTATTTCAGTCTACTCTCTCTCTTTCCTTTTCATTACATGGGCCTGGTTTTCCTTACCATTAAAAAAACGTCTTTCTTAAGTTAGAATCATATTTGAAGAGACTTTTTTCTTCGTTGAAATAACATTTCTGGTTTTTTGACATACTTCGTGGGTGTGTGTACCCACTTACCAATTCACAACTTGGTTTTTTTTTTTTTAAATTCAAGATTAAATGGATGACTTTGTAATGCTCTGCTGCTATTCACCCTAATAAGCCTGTTAAACTCATTGCATTGACCTCTTTTTTGGTCTATCTCAGCCCTTTGACTACTAGCTAAAAGACAACGTGCTTTTAAGGTACCTAGAAGTACTTGGCATTTCCCTACCACCTTGAATCTTTAAGCCATAAGATCGTTTTCATTGAAATAACTTGCAAATCCATGTGGATTTATTTAGCCTTTTCCATTTTCTTTAAAAAAAAAAAAGGAAGAAGAAGAAGGAAAATGTTAAAAACTCTGTTCAAACCGCCAGAAGAGCTAAATTTGGATAGAACTCAATCAGTTTGGGTTTTTAATCCCATCCCTAGTACTAGTAAACTAAGCAGAAAGTACTTATTTTCTTATTTGTCAAGTTTAGCCAATTTTTGTAGGGGAGATTTATAATCCAAATTATGCTTGAGTTGTATTCATTAAGGACTATTTACTTCCTTTCCGCTAATCAACAATTAAAGATTAGTCACAACAAGGCAAGTCAGATTTTCTTTGGAAGTGCCTAGAGAAAAGGGCAAAGGATTTTTGTGTGTGTGCACCTTTATTTAAAAAGTGTTACTTTTTTTTTAAAGTATTACTTTAAAAAAAATGGCCCCAAATCTTGAATTCTCGTTAACTATTTAAAATAAAAACAATTCACTTGTACAGTGTGGGTCAATGTTTTTAAACTAAAATGCAAGTAGTTAATTCAGGGCGCTGGCAGTGATTCTGTTTACTGATCTTTTCTGATTGTTGTTTTCTTGATAACTGAGCAAGCCACTGAATGGCTGTTTGAGCCCAGGCGCCACAAACATAAACTTCACAGCTTACAATGTCCCAAGTCGTGATGGAGGATCTCTCCACACCTCCCGGAGACTTCTGAAGTGTAGACAGAGAAGTTGGTTCACAGGGAGAGAAGGAGGGGGAGGGGCGTGAGGGACCGCTGCTGAGTGTTTGCTGTGAGCATTGTTACCATCACATCCTTTAATTTTTATGGCGCTTAAGCTGTTAGCTCTGAGAAGCCAGTTTCTGTGTCTTGGAGAAGCCAGTCTCTCCCCAGAGCCGCACTTAAAACTACTTGACTCTTTTTATTTAAAAAAAAATTTTTTTTTT